CGTCCGCAATTCTGTCTAATATGTTTGATAACGAGAGTCTTTTTTTGAACCCCAGAATGGGCTTGTATTCGACGCAATGCAAAGACTCCAGAGAAAAGCACACCGCAACAAAAAGTCAAAAAAGCCTCGACAGCGACACACGGCAGTTGAATTCGACCTTGAAACCTCTTGCAGGTCTTTTAGTCAATAAGCACTGTAGAGATATCTCCAAATGGCGTCACCACACCTCCTCCGTTTCTGAAATGGACGCAAAGTGTGCTCTGGCAGAAAAAAGAACGCCCGGCCATCATAGGGTACAAGCATTCAATTGAAACTGGGATCTAAAGTCCCGACAAATGCCCACATATGTATCTGTGTTTCCTACCTTACGCATCTCGGGAGTCATCATAAGCACATTCACAGGAAAAACGCAGCTAGACCAACCAAAAAAAGGACCGAGGATGAGGAGGACGCCATTGACCGCACAAAGTTCCCTTTACTCTCGATTGAATGATACTACCCGGCAGTACCTTGACAAAACCCCTCGAGGGACGGACCGAGATGAAGCATGGAACAAAAAAAAGCCGTCAAAATGTAGGTGTATTATGCATGGTGCAACTGCGGAATATGCGGGTGAGGGTTCCACAATGACGCCAAAGTGTTCCTCAGCATTGCTACATCACAAGCGCAACTCGGGAATCATCGTACAGGACAACCGCAGGAAAATGTAGCTAGTCCAAACAAAACCAAAAAAACAAAAAATGAAAAAATGATGACAACAACTTGAGGGAAGCGGCAATGGAGGGTATTCCCCACCACTGACCGCACACATGTTCCCTTTACTTTTGACTACCTGGCGGTACATGACAAACCTGTCGAGAATACGGACCGAGCGAACCCAAGAAAGAAGAAAAAAGCTCCTGTCAAAAGGTTTGAATTGCATGGTGCTCGTTCACATGAACTGCGGAATATGCAGATGAGGAATGTTTGCTCGTTCACAAGAACTGCGCAATATGCAGATGAGGAATGTTCACCTACCAACCGTGTTATGTTGCTTTGCGTTTTTTTTGCTTGAAAAAGAACACCCGGAAGATAAGAAGAAGCGCTGCTGGAAAGCACGCTGCTGAACCAAACCAAACACAAAAAAAGACAAAAAAACGGTACAACGATCAAAAGCGATGCGGCAACGGAGGGCTATCCCGTGCCCCACTGACCGCACACATGTTTCATTTAACTTTTGGTGTTGACTACCCGGGCGGTACATTAGAAACCTCTGGAGGGACGGACCCAAGCGAACTCAAGACAGCGGAAAAAAGAAGTTCCGCCAGGTTACTGGTTTGCTGTCTATGCAATGGTGCTCGTTCACAAGAACTGCGGAATATGCGGCATGCGGGTTTTTCTTTCCACAGCAAAGCGAACTGATCCTTAGCATATACCAATGTTGCAACCGAACCGGACAAAAAAAAATAGCAGACCTGGCGATAGGGGAGGCGGCATTGGAGGGCTATTCCGGACCCCACCAACCGCATTATGTTGCTTTGGGTTTTGACCGACCAAGGTTGCCCGGCAGTAGGGACAATCGGTGCGGGCTTTGGGTTTTGACCGACCAGGTTGCCCGGCAGTAGGGACAATCGGTGCGGGAAGAACGTAGCTAGACCAACCAAAAAAAAGGAACCAAGCCGATAGTGGTGAACGCGGTAATTGGAGGGCTATCCCACAACCCACCAACCGCACCATGTTGCTTTTACATTTGACCGAACTAAGACTGGGCGGCAGTACATGGCATGTCAAGCTTCTCGAGACAAGGGGCCGAGAGAACCCAACAAGCAGGGGAAAAAAGATTTCCGCGTTAGCCGTTTGCTATGCATGGTGCTCGTTCACAAGAACAGCAGCGGGGGCAGACAGTGAGGCAGCAATGTTAGAATTTCGCAACCTGTTCGTGCAAAAGACATGGATTGGTGGAGGAACGATGTACAGTACTGTACGAACCGAACTCCCCGAGTCGTTCCCCCTTGTTTGTCTTCTCGAGCAACGGGGAAGGAACACCCGTCCCCCCATAAAAAAGTCGCCAACACAAGCAGCCGCGCAACGATGCCAGTACAAGTACTGCAGGCATCAAAGAGAAAAGTGGACATGATCATTGCTCTTTTATTCTCTCGTTTTTGCACCAACTTGTGACGGACACTTCACCGCCCGCCCATCAAATACAACCACGAAAAAAGGAGAGAAAATAACGACGACGACTATCAAATGCGGCCAAGGAGGGCTATCCCATAACCCACTGACCGCACACATGTTCCATTTACTTTTGCCGTTGACGATTCAGACCTGACAATCTCGGCAACTAACAAGCTTTTTGAGAACACGGACCGAAAGCAGAAAAAAAAACTTCGTCAGGTTTGGGATGCATAGGGTCATTCACAAGAACTGCGGAATATGCGGATGAGGAATTTACATGATGCAGAGTAATTCGTTGCGTACTTAATAAGTACACACAAGCTGTGTTGGGTTAAGACAGGCGATATCGTTACGCCGCTGGTTGGTTTTGCAAACCGTGAGAAACCAAACTCCAGTCATTGCCCTTTGTTGCCTTCTCGAGCCATCAGGAATTCCCGTAAAAAAAACTGGGAATTACAAGCACAAAATTGCGCAACGATGCCAGTACTACAGACATTAACAGCCCTATGGTAAACATGACCGCTCTCCTATTCTCTCTTTCTACACTAACTGGTACATGCACCGCCCATCATTTACAAACCACCACACCACAGTCCCCCCGCTTTACGCGTGACCCCACACACCCCTGGTAACATACGCTTCCTCCAAATGCTTGCAATCCTCCTCACTCAACTTCACCTTCGCGGCGCCCATCAAATCCGCGATATACTCCACCTTGTTGATCCCCACAATCGGGCTGGTCACCTCCGGTTTCGTGTACAACCACGCCAACGCGATTTGTGAGTGCGTGACGCCGTGTTTGGCGGCAATCTCACCGACGCGGGCGACGATCGTGTCGATGGATTCTTGGACGTGCGGCGGGAAATTCTGGCGGTTGAAACTGTGGACGTCCGTTTTGGAGCGGACTGTGTCGGTTTTCTTGCCGGTTAGGAAGCCGCGGGCTGAAGTTTGGAGATTTTGTGTGAGGTGGGATTGAGAAGACGAAAGATGCAGTGGGTTGACGTGCTTACCGAGAGGTGACCAGGGAATGACCGCCACGCCGCTGTCTTTGCAGAAGGGAAGCATTTCACGCTCTTCTTCGCGGTAGACGAGGTTGTAGAAGTTCTGTACGAGCCGTACGTTATTACTCACGGATTCGGGCAGCCACAAGCCACAGCAAGATTTCAGGAGCCTCACCTGCATGGACACAAACTTGGCCCATCCTCGTTTCTCGGCGATGGCTTGCGCCTTTGCAAATTGCCATGCGAACATTGATGACGCTGGAAGGGAGGAATCCGCGTTACATGGTGAATCACAAGCACGTCGCCAAAGGGAAAACCTTTTACACACCTCCGATGTATCGGACCTTGCCCATCCGAACGAGATCGTTCAAAGCCTCCATCGTTTCCTCAATCGGAGTGTTGTAGTCCCACCGGTGGATTTGGTACAAGTCAATGTCTGAACCCGAAAGGATCAAGATGAGTACGAAAGCCGCGTGAAAATGAGCAACTCGATTTCAGTACGCACAATCCAATTGCAAGCGCCTCAAACTCGCGTTGACGGAGTCGAAGATGTGCTGTTGTTCGTCGAAAGTATGATGGTAAGCACACAGCAGATGGCAACATATGACATGTAACTTGATCCCAACCTTGCGGCTCAATCCAGTCTTGTTGACAATCGGCGGTTGGTTCCATTGTTTGCCAATCCCTTTGAAACTCAAATCATTCTCGTCGTAGGAGAAGAAACATTTGGTTGCGATGACAATCTGGGTTGTCAGTCAAGGAAGGGAATTAGACATGTGAGAAAGCCGCACTAACGAGTATCTCCCAGCTGGTGGTCCTTTCCAATTACCTGATCACGTGGAATGTTGAACTTTTTGATGGCCTCTCCAACGATGCGCTCGCTCTCTCCGTTGCTGTACACATCAGCCGTATCCCAAAAGTTGATTCCTGTACAGTCGTTGTGACCAATGAGAATGGTGGATGTACTCTACACCGTCAATGGGCGACAGGCGGCGACCACATACCAGCATCCCACGCGGCCTTGATGATAGGGAACGCCTCGTCTCGTTCAAGCACCCATTCTCCCCACTAGAGAGCCAGGGATGGGATCAGCCAGGATTACTCTAAACCAAAGGATGGGCGAGGAACGATGGTGACGGGAAGTAGACCGGCGACATTCACCTTTTTAGAACCGTAGGACATGCACCCGAGGGTAAGGCGAGAGACGACCAAGCCGGTGTTTCCGAAGCGAACGTACTCTGCAGCGCCTTCACCGGTTTCGTTGACTGCGACCATTGTTATTTTGTGTGGTTGTTTGAGTGTGTTTCTGAGTGTGGGAAGAATGGGGGGTTTATTTGAACGAACGCGTGGAGCGGGAGGAGCAGAGGGTGGTTTATATACGCGGCGGAATATGTTGGACTAAACTTAGGTAGGTAACTTACCCCGGAGAAAGTCCGAGGTTTTTGAAGATGGAGGGGAGAGGAAACAACGGCGGGAAGATGGAAAACCCCCCACCCCGTCCCTGCATTACTAATGGCCGTGTCCGAATCTCTCGGACACAACATTCGGTCGCCGATCGACGCGTCGCCCCCTCAGACGGCTACGGCGAGCGCACCAGATGTCGCCGACGAGGGCATATTGCATATCAACATACTGTAATGCTCCCAGATTGTGCAATCATTGGAAGCTGAGAAATACATGTTGGTAAAATACTTTTGGGTTGGGACGGGTCGGTGATCACTAAAACGCCTATTTTGTTGTTGTCCTCCTGCATCCTATATCATCCAAAAAAGAAAATTGAAAGAGGTGAAACCGTGTTGGAGTCGCCAAAGTAGGCTCCAACCGTAGTTTCTGGGACTCAACAGCCCAACTTGAGATTCTAACCTTGTAGATAAGAGTCTCACGCTCTACCGATTGAGCTAGCCGGGCTCCATTATCCAAATTTTGGTTGAGTTGCGCTGCTGCGCGCGCAGTCTACAGGCGGTGAGACGATTACTTGAGCCAAGTAGGTCTGGAGGAGTGCAGTCCACCATGGCAGTCGCGCGAGTCAATAGGGAGTGAACTTAATTTGATTGTGTGCCTGAGCGTGATTGAGAGCGAGGTCAGAGACTCTTTTTACGATACTCTTATTATCACCAATTTACATCATAGTATGTATTAGACTGCAGTGCTTATTAAGACAGGTGTATGTATCTTTCCATCCGCCAAGTTTTTGGACTTTCGAAGTCGAGCTTCAAGAGACGCGAAGCGGAACTATAGTTGTCCATCCAGGCCTTTATGTTACGCCTTTTTTCTTTTCCCTCCATTCTACAATTTTCCTATCCGCAAACTGGCAAACGACCAAAACAGACTACCACAACTAAACGCATTGATTGTCCAACACCATAGCTAAAAGAATAAGCGGCCTGTTCTTTGGTTTATCATACCGCAGCAATGGAGACTGGAGACGCAGTTGATGCAGAGTGAAGCAAGGATAAGACACAAAAAGAGAAGCACGAGCGGGAGGGCGGCAGGCCAATGAGCTGGAAGCGAAGCGAACAGCAATATGGGGGGGAGGCATAGCTTACAAAGCCAAATTTGAGACGAAAATGCATATGATTGCGACCGAAGAGTAAATGTCGCATTTCACCTTTCGACGCGCGGGAACCAGGTGGGTGGTGGCAGCAATGTGGCTCGCCCATACCGGAGCTAAATCAAGATCAGCACAATGCCATGCGCGGAATCGGGTGACTTGCGCAGTCGAGGGACATTGTGCCAATCTCACTTGTGCATTCGCGGTAATCTGTTTGGTTATTTTTTTCGTGTTTCAGAGTCGGCCAAGCTCAGACGGCCTGCACCGGCAGCCATCCCCGGTGGAAGTACACTGGGCAAAATAGTAGACTCGGTGGACGCCTAACATACAGCCGCGTGTTTCCTGTCCGCAGGAGGCTATAATGCAAACGCATATCCTTCACATCAACCAAGCCATATTGTCTGTTGCGCAGTTTTTTTGACCACCACTGTTTCATGTGGGTGACCCAAGTCTCCACATGTTTGCCATACATTGCGAAGATCGCTCACGAGCACCTACGGGGAACCACCGTTTGCGAAAACTTGACCGGAAAACAATCGCACAAAAGAGCTGGTAAATCCTCTTCGGACTCAGTCGGGCTGGAAAATGACGCATTCCACCTCCCACAATTCTCATTTGATGAAATGAGTATCGCTGGCAGGTTTGGATCCTGCCCGCATCCAAAATTGTTTTAAGCTCAGTGGAACGATGAAGGAGGAAAAAAAGTGAGCTGTAAAGTGAATGAAGTGAATGGAACTTGTGCGGATGGGGCGCCCCGTCTGTTCCCGATGCAGATTTCATTGTAATCGCTTCAAGATGTTCTCAGACATTGACAGTTGTACAAACTCAGAATTGCAAAAAAAGATCGGTGTTGCGTGGATTGAGAAGCAGACGCGAATACCGAAGCTTCTCGGGGTTTACAGACAGAGCATTATCCAACCGCACCAAGCGGGAGCGGTGCTCACTTACCGACTTAAAAACGCGCGGTTGTTACGGGTCTCTAAAGGCAAATCGCCAAAAAAGCCGTGTATGATCTAAAGTTTGGTTCAGTGGGTTCCATACAGGCCCCAAATGCGTCGTCAATCATTACCACACTGGATACCCCACCTGGAGTGCCCATACCTTGTTGCTGTGTTATCGCAACGGAAGAATGTTTTCACCACACACACCATTGCTTGTCTCAGTCCCGTGTTGGATACCCTCCATGGATCGTCCATACCTGGTTGCTATGATTGCAACGGAAAAAGGAACTTCACGTATACGTGATTGTAGTATGTTCTGTTCCTTGTCCGCTTGACAAGATCCAAATTTATGTGGCATACGGATGCGTGTGAGCTCACTCCCGCCTCTTCGGTGAGATGAGGCAAGCACGCAAGATCAAACACACAAAAAAACATTACGCACGGGACCCGATGGGTTTGGAAGCTTGAGTTCCCCATTTCCATTAACCCCTTGTTTCCGAACCTCTCTCAGCATTGATCCCGTGCCAACTGCCTAGAGAAATGTAGAAAGCGCGACCTGGAGAATGGCACAGCGGAGCCGTGATTGCTTTTTGGCTGCGCCAAAGCATTTGTTTACGCTCCAGCAACATTTCACTCTCTGACACGGGGTTTTTGTCTGCATTCAACGATAAAGAGATGGAGGGAGGGAATGCCACAAACAAAACAAACGTCTGATAGGGAGTGGATTCAAACGGGTCAAAGTTGGTATATTCCCGACAACCCCAAATCCTGAAAAAGTGGACCTGAGGAATGGCATAGCGCAGTCCTGAACGCGTCTCGACTGCGCAAGAGCGTATTTATGCACTCAGTACAATGTCTCTTCGCTTTGATGTGTGGCTGTTGTCTTTTCTCCATCGGACAGGGAGGCAAGGAAATAAATCCACAAAAAAAGTAAACGTCTGAGAACGAGTGACTCAAAATAGTCAGAGCTGAACGGTGGGTTCCCGACAAACTAAAACACTCCTGCCTCCAGCGAACTCTTTTGCGGTACGAACCTGCACCCCGTTCCAGTCCAGGGAACATAGAGCACTCCCTACGGCTGCTACTATTACAACTCGAAAAAAAAGCATCGACAACACAATTTGCGGTGGTTCTTCATGGATCAGGCCGCGGTTGTTCACTTGTGTGCATTGCGGGTGTCATATTGGATGGGTTTAACATCCTCCCGCTTAACTATTTGGCAGGGAGGCTCCGAGAGACAAAACAACAAAATTAACCACCATACCGAGCGCACTGGTTTGGAAACTACGTACAGCGTTTCCCTAAACCCAAGTCTATGTACGACCTTTGCACACTCTGGCTGAACAGCTATGCTGGCCTATCACGCGATGGTTCGTCAATGACTTTGCAGACACAGCCATACGGACGGAAAGAAAAAAAGGATGCCAGCCATTAGGAAACGCGCAGCTTGTCGCATAGCAAACACACCGCGCTGTTTTACGAGCACAAATGAAGTCGCGTATTGCTTTCACAGTTTTGCCTCATCACAAGACATCGAAAAAGTTGGGTGCATCCGCAACTGCAGTTCCGTCTTCACGACTCCTGTGAGTGTGTGTGGTAGAGTCCTCTGCAAACTAGGCTGTGGTTGTTTGATGATGAACGACAAAACAGGAAAAAAGAATCCGGACAACTTGCCCGCGGACATGTGTTGGAAACGCAACACTTCCAATACATTCCGGATATCTGTGCTTGCTACCTGTCCAGAACGGCTCAAAAGTGACATTCGCTCCACAACACGCGGGTGTTTGTATGGTTGGAGCAGAGGAAAAAAAGAAGAACCGGGAAAATAAACCATGAAGCTGGTGAACGCGGCCTGCGTTCAACAAATGCAAAGGGGAAGCCCATCTGTGTCACCAACAGCATCGCTCTCGTAATATCTTTTGACTGTCGCTCTTTGAGCAAGATACAATGGAAAACAAACGAGAAAAAAGAAGGATGATAAAGAGGTAAGAGGGGATATAGAGGGGATATCACCGGTTTGGTGCGCTGTCCCCCCCCGTAATTTCGATCCATTTTGTGGAAACGAGGATGAACTACCCATCAAATGCGTGGAGTGCTGAACAGGATTGCACAGAGCAATGTGGTGCGAAAGGAAGTGAGGGGCAAGGGGGCCAGGAGGTGAACTGCCAAACCTGGGGAAAAAATCAGAATGGCGCAACTATGCACTGAAAATGATAACCTTTCCAATACATTTCAGACCGCACTTGCTATCTCCCCATCCCAGCTCAAAAGTGCCATTTTACCTGCGCTACCTCAGGGGTGCTTGCTATGGCTATAGCCGAACAACACGAGTAGGGGCGTAGTATGACAAGCGCAGTTGTGAACTGTGGCAAACCCCATGTTCGGTTTACTCACACGGGTTGACCTCTGTGTTCCCTCAAATCTTCTGTCTTTTTTTGCTTGGGCAGCTTTTCCGCGACCGCTCAAGGTACACTGCAAAGCAAAGGCGACAAAAAGCGGCCTGAAAACGCATTCCAGGAGAGGATGCCGCCAGGTCGTGCGCTGTCCCCCATGCGATCATCTCCACGCGTTCTATGAACTCGGTCGGATAACGCCTCATTTGTGGCGAGTAATGAGGAAAGCAAAAAGTGCAGAGTATGTGTGCCGGATTGGACAGGACAATGGGTTGGAAAAAAAGTGCGCAAGACAAGAGAACGCAGAGAGCTCGGGACAAGGATCAGCGTTGAAAAGTCGTCCGGAACTGGGTGGGTCTGGGTTGGTTTGCCCGAAGCGTCATTGCATTCTATAGTCATCCCGGCCCTCTGACGGCTCTGGACACTAAAATTGAAGAACGTTCAAGAGCCGGAGGCTCCGATCCAAAGTAAACGGCGCGGGACCGTTGACGTAGGGACAAACATGGTCGAATACGATGCATTGAGAGATTTTCAACCACGAAACGCATTCACCATAAGAATCAAGTGCCGGTGTCACGGGTGTACAAAAAAATCAGCTACCTCGTCCCTCATGCAACAGCGAAGTTCTGAACTGCATTAGGGCTCCCGCTCCACGAGGCTGCGGTCTTTACATCTGAAGAGACGCCAGAATAGACTGCCATATCGTTTGAAGTGTTGTTCAAGGGGCTTTCGAAGCGGGTTGAAAAACAAATAGCAAAAATAATGATGTAATTCGGTCTATGGGGTTGAGGGGAAACGTCCCCATAACCCACACCATGGTTTTTCGCACCTTCGGGGCTTCATTTCAGTTGGCAAGAACGCGATCACTAAGTACAAACCGGTGACCAGAAACACAGAATATGAAAAAAAGGCACATTTGGTCACTTACTTTACTGGACTGGGATGGACAAGCAACCTTTCGTCCCCGCTCGTCAGATGGTCGCTTGCTGGACGTTGACTGATACCACCGACTCAGTACTTAGT